GTCGTTGTTATCGTCGTCGTCGTTTTCTTCCCGACGTCTGCGGTGGGCATTTGAGAAGAAGCCTGGTGGGAGGGCGTCGTCTTCTTCATCCGAGTCGTCGTCGGAATCCTCGTCGGTGGGGTGGAAGAGGAAGCCGCAGGTGAGGCGGTGGAGGACGGACATGAGGTCCTTGTGGAAGCCGCGCTCACCGGGGAGGATGGTGATGTTACCGAGCTCGAGGGTGGCGTCGCGGACGGCCTTGACGACGGTGTCGCCCGCGTTGGAGATCATGACTGTCATGGTGGGTAGGGCGAGAAGGGACCAGAAGACGAAGAAGGCTTTGCCTGAGTTGGAAATGGGGGTGCGGTCGCCGTAACCTATCGTCGTGAGAGTGACAAAGGCAAAGTAGAAGCCCTCAAAGTAGGACCAGTTCTGGTAGGGGCGCTCGCACTCCTGAAAGACTTTTGCGCCGACGAGCCAGAGGATCAGCCAGGAGGAGAAAGAGACGGACATGGCCATCCAGCGGCGGCGGGCGGAAGCCTGGTGCTGGATCTTGCGCATGAGGTTGAATTCTTCCTCACGGCGCTCGAGCTCCGTGCCAGGCAGAGTGGGAGAAGAGACGGCGGACGCAGAAGTTTCCATGGTGTCTGGATGGATGGGCTTCAGGATCTCGTCTTTGCCCTTGCGGGTCATTGTGCGGATGAGCTGGCGGCGCTTCTTCTCGACCATGCGGGCGTCGAGCCTGCGGCGGCCGCGCTCGAGGACGAGGCTTCGGATGGAGCCGATGACGAGACCGAGGGAGATGACGCCGACGAGGGCGTAGGGGATGAGGAGGGCGCGGCCTAGGGGCGATGCGGCGGCGAAGTCGCCGAAGCCGACGGTGAAGAGGGTGACTTGGGCCCAGTAGACGGCGTCGAGGTAGGACCAGCTCTCGATGGTGGAGAAGACGAGAGCGCCGACGAGGAGGTAGCAGAGGAAGAGGATGGTCTGAAGCATGAGGGTGCGCTGGGCGGTGGTGAGCTGGAAGTCCTTTGCGTAGTGGCTGGTGGAGGCGCCGTAGACGGTGACGACCATGAGGGAGGCCGTGAGGAAGTAGAGGATGGCGGCGAACATGCCGTAGTAGAAGGCCTGAGAGAAGATGTACTCCTCGGCGGGCTCGATGACGAGCGGACCCGCGGCGGTGGCGTTGAGGGCGACGAGGCAGATGGCGGACATGTACCAGCCGACGATGGTGATGGGTTGAGCGAGGGAGAAGCGAACGCGGCGGGCCATGTTGAGGAGGAGGAAGACGTTTGAGATGATTGCTATGGCCAGCTGGATGGCGTTGACGATGATGAGCCTGCAGGCATGGTTAGCTTCTGGTAATGAGTGTTCATGCATAGCTCACGCATAGCGAGTGAGAGAACATGAATGACACGGGTGTCTGAATGAGACGGGGACTGACCATTTCGGATCCGGCTCAAAAGCGGCGGTAGTGATGTCGGTGCCGGGTGGGTAGTGCTGTCGCCAAGGCCGGACAAGGGCGCAGATACTGAAAGCCGAGGCAACGGGGCCGAGGGTGCCGGCGATCATGGGGAACGCGGAGGAGGCGAACCACCACCGGCTCGGGTCGAGGTGTGCGACATCGTTGGCGAAGCGCTTCTCGCTGCTGCGGGGGTTCTTGGACTGCTCGAGCTGGCCGATGCGCTCGTCAATGTTGTCGCCCAGGTCGGCGTCGTTCATGGCGGCGTCGAGGTTGGGTCGAGCGGCGAGCCGCGGGGGGCAGATGAGCGGGTGCGATGTGGTGGATCCGCCGAAGGTGAAGGCATTCCCGGCTGCTGCAAGCTACCTAGGTAATATCCCAAGAACACGACACTAGAGTCTTGCGGACGACTACTCTAACAGGTCTTGGCCGTAGTTGATAACAGTGTTGAAGAAGAGGGGATTCCTACGATCTCCTTTTTCTTCATCGAGGTTGAGGATCCATTGAGTCTAGACTCCTGAAAGTGCTATCCGTGCTAGCCGGGGTGCCCCAGATGGAGGGGAATGAAGGCACTTCGCGATGACGTCTGTTTGGGGGATGCCGAAGAGGGTGTGCACTCGCGCCTTGTTTTTCCTCTCTTTTTTTTTCCTTTTCGCGTCTACTGATCAGATAGCTGAGACACGTCAAAAAAGATATGTTCCAATACGTAGCGAGGCACGCAACGGACGGGCGTTTTGTTGCGTGGCCTAGTTTAGATCGTAAACGGCCGGATGATCTCTTGTCTGACCATCTCAGATTCTCGAGTGTGCGGTTCCCTCGCGAGGTCGGCGATCTGTTGCCCTTGAAGAAATGTTTGGCCGCCAGATCCGCCGTGACCGTTTGCACCATTCGTCCTTGGCACTCAGATTTATATATATCCTTCTTCACTTGGCATGTAATATGCCCCCCGGATTGCATGTCGCCAACAGATTGGTGTCAATCATCAGACAGATCAGGTCACCCATGCATGTGGTAGGACAGAGCTCATGATCTCTCTCGACACAGCGATCCCTTGGCTCCATTTCAGCGGTGGTTGCTCCGTGCTCCGGCGCTTGGGTAGTGGTAGTGGTAGTGGCAGGTGGTAAGTAGTAGACGCTACTGCAACAAAGTGGGAGTCGAGGGGACCCTTGACCAAGAACTCGAAGCTTAGCAGCGGTGACGTGTGGGGGACAGTTTGCGGCGGTGCAAACACGAAGGGCTGGAGAATCCGAGATGATGGTGGTGTGGTGTGGTGGTGTGGTGGTGTGGAGGAGACGGAATGGCCGCTGGTTGGTCCGAGGGTGGCCCCTTCAACTTACCTTAAGGTAGTGAGAAAAAAAACGCGTCTGGGGAGTTGCAGTTAGTTGTTTACTCGGATAACTCACTCATCAAACTTATACACTTTCATTTGAGTACTCACATGACTATGAGTGTATGAGTGAGCAATCGATTGAACATGAGTGTTTCAGTGGCTAGTTCTGCTATCGTTTCATAATCTTAGACGATGAGAAAATGGCCGAATCCCTGGCTGTCGTCTCGTCTACGCCCAATTCATGTCTTCCAACGGCGATGTTTCCATCTTGAGAGGCCTGACATCGAGTCCGTCGACGTGCCTTGTCGCTCGTCGGGGGCCATCACAGTAGAGTAGATCTCACTTCATTCCATCAGACCATGACTTCTTTTCTAACCAACCATCAGCCTTCACAATGTCAACCGTCATCCCGCCACAACCCCCTTGGTGTTGTACATCCCGCCCTTCTCACCAACCCCGGGACACTTGACCCCCATCCCCCACTTCCTCATGCCGTACCCAACGGCCGTCATCAACTACCGATGGTCCCCGTCCCGGTCCGAGTCCCCGGTCCCCACCTCTCCGGAAACCACTCACGACCACGACCACGACCACGACCACGACTTCAACTTCATCACACCTCTCACATGGCCCACCCCCTTACACGACGTCCTCGCCGGCTACACCTGGGTCACGGAAAATCTCCTACCCCCGGGCACTACTTCCCGCCGCGACATCTACGTCTACAGCTCCCACGCCGGTGCCAGCATGGCCGCCTCCCTAGCCCTCACCGAATCCCACCACCACGCCCGCATGGCCGTCCGTGGACTGATCGCCTGGAACGGCATATACAACTGGTCCATGTTCCTCCCGGATCACAAGATCAACAGACCCGCCACCGCGCGCAGCAAGAAGCTCCCGCCGCGGCCTGAGGAAGGGTCGGCGCTGCATATGCTGCAGATGAAGATGGCGGACCTCTTCCATGCGCCCGTAGACCTGTTCGATCCGTTTGTTAGCCCTAGTCTCCTCTTCCAGACGCCTGGCATGAACGCGCCGTCGAGCTTCGTGCAGGCGGCGGCTGTGTCATCGTTGTTGGAACGGCTTTCCTCTGTCAACTCGGACGTGAAGCCGGCTGATGTCCTGGGCATCTCGGAAGGGTTGTTGTTGACGGCGCCGAGGCGGAGTGCCCTTGTGTTCCCGCCGAGAAAGTCGACGCTCAAGTTGCCTTCTGTTTTGCTACTTCATGATACCCCGACGGAGGCCGTCGTAAAGCGTAAGACGACAAGGAAAAGCAGCATGGCGTCGGCCATGGCCGGAGAACTCGCTTCTAGGACGGCATGGAGACGGAAGGTATCTGGGCACACGTTCGAAGCCCAGGCAACCGAGCTGGCGGGGTTGATGAGGCGGAGCCTGGAGAAGCTGGAGTTCAAGGCCAGGTTGCAGTGGGATGAGGATTTTGACGTGGAGACTGAGGCTGAGAGGCGGGTGACCGTCGTCGAGGTTGGCGAGAATGAGGGGCTTGAGCTTGGTGAGCGTGGCGAAGATGCTATTGTGGAGTGGTTGGAGGATAGGATACGCTTGTGATACCCATCAATTCTCCTTTCATATTACATTTTTCTTTGAAGGGCACTGACCAGTACTTGTGTGGCATAATGTGCTTTTCGTTTCGAAAACTTATGCGGCCACGGTAGGGGATGAGTCGATGAGGCCGTAGCAAGATGTGATAGTCAGGTGTTTATTCCGAGCTCCTCGGTAGTCGGATCATCCACGCACAATTGAGGCCGTGTATACCTTGGGTAGACAGACGTCCGGGTCGTATGGCAGGCAAGTTTCTGGGTTGAACTGGCGCACCTTCCTTCCCAAGGTAATTTGCAACTTCACCTACCTGCCTGACCTCCCCGCCCCACACATGGCTGTCTTTTCATCTCATCCCGTCTCATGCCCCCATCCACCGCCCGTCCAGACCATTATGAGGCGTTCCAACTCGCTTTGCTTTCACCAGGTGAGGCGGACTGTTAGACATTGCACTTGGTCTAACGGTAAGTCTCATCACGCTGAGAGAAAAGAAATATCTCGATCGGGCTCTCCCTGGTTGCCTCGCGAGACGCGCAAGTTCGAGCCTCGGCTGGATTTGGGCGTGTATAGTTTTTTTTTACATTTTCTGTACTGCTTGTTTTGCGTCCATCTTTTTATAGTACGGTTGTTGCGTTTGTTTCAACTTTTCTTCATGCAAAAAAGGTGGTTTCGGTTGTGGTTTTGATATTCGCTCATATTCGCGACATTATTCCCTTAGTAACTCTGTTAGGCATAAGAAACCCTATCATCTCCCCGGACACAAACTTGGAATCACATCTGCTATGATAATAGCAATGTTCTCACACCGTTCAACTTCACGGAAACCTGCTACCAGTGTTCTTAAACAACTCCTCATGCCCGTCTCTGTTCCAAATCAATTCATGCTATCATCCTACAGGAAAATCAAGCCAGCAGGCCTTGATAGTTCCCAGGTGATTAAACACTTGCTGCTCTGAAGACTACCGTTTCAAGTTTCGTAGAATCGGAGTTTCGCATTGCTGAGCCAGAGGGCGACCAGCACCGTCCAGGGAAGGATGCGCAAGAGGATGGTCTGTCCATCCATCTCCCATACAATGCCCAGACAGAACCCGAGCAAAATGCTCCCAGTAAGCATGGTGTCCCGGTATTTGTCTCGATGGTTCAGATGGTATAACGTCGACGCCCCAGTTCCGTATGCAACCAATCCGAGGATCAACACTGCGGGGGTCGAGCTCGAGAGGACACGGATAGCCTGTACAGGATAGTCCCATGGAAGTTAGTCACGGAGACCAAATAATATATTGGAACTACTGACCTTGCTTGTCATATTTGCTCCTAAAATGTCACCCCACATCCAATACCATCCCTCATCAGACGAATGGGCTTCGACGGGAAAGCCTCCGTCATCCGAAGACGCCTTTTCAAGATCAGTCTGACCTCGACCGAGTATGGCATATAGATCAAGGACGCTCGAGCCCAGTAAGATCAATGTCGCCGCTAGAATCGCTTTCGCAGGTCTTTTGAAGTCGGAGATATCCTCACTCGTCGAGCCGCTTGCGTGGGACGTGAGGTTCGAAATCTTGTCCCCCAAAGGCTCCATCCCGAGACCGTTTTTCTCGATATCAGCGCTCAGGTATCCAGTCAACGGCGGAGGCCTTCTCGGATTGCGGAATCCATTGAACACTCGCACGTTTGAGAAATTTTCTCGCATAATCATCGGATTTCTCGAAGACTTTATCTGCTGTAGAATGGGATTCGTGTTTGGTGTTTCTGCGAAGTTGCAAGCCTGCTTGACGCTTTCCAGGAATGAAGTGCGGCCCAACCCCTCAACTAGTCCTGCCGTTGCACACATGGTCTCGAAGAGAGCCTGATGATTGGGCTGTGGAAAGAGGCAACCAATACATAGCCTCACTTGTTGTCGCGTTACACAATGTAGGCCTTGGGTTCCCTGGCCTCATACCAGACTTCGGGCCCCCTCTCCAACTTCTCCTTCTCTCCCAACCTTGACGATTCGGCGAAACTACTCGGCGCCGTCCTCTTTGCAACATATCTTCATATCTCTGACCGCTGGGACCTAATAACGAACACTGGCTTGACCTGTTTATACCCGCATTTTTGTTTTGATCCGTTCTTGTGATCATGACAGACTTAGAGCTACAGAGAGTCGGGGAACCAATTCCCCCAGATCCGGCTCCTCCAGACAGGTCAATTTCGATTCATCAAAGAGTCCTGAGGCTTCCAATCGATAGCATTGAGTGCGTTTCTACTTTCCCTTTCAGGAGGCACCAGATATGGAGTTAATACTGATACGAAGCCCCTTTATCTTTCTAGGATCTGGCATAATATCGGTATCGGGACTCGAATCGGTACGCTGCGTCACGACCGTGTTCTCACAATACTGCGTAAGGTTGGGGGAGTGGCCTCAACCATCCTATCTGTCTATGTAGCGGTTGAGCACGATGAGCCTATTGCCCAGTTAGCGTACAACAGGTCTGCCGACTCGTTACAAAGGCTCTCGCAATTATCTTACTAACAATCATGAATAGCCTGTGGTGTCTTACTTTCGCTGCGAATAGTGCCCTCTTTCTTACATGGCGTCACATGTCCAGGATGCAAAATGTGTAAGTGCTGATTCCCACTCGATCAACCAGGCAAGTTTGGCGAAACTGACTGCTCCAATACAGTTATTCCATTCTCTTCATCGTACTTTCCTATGCGACCCTGACCACACTACTAAAGGGTCCGGAGCTGGTCCTCAACAAGATCCTTCCGATGCTCCCTCTGGTTGTGGTTTTGGGCGCGTTCTTGTCCTCGCTCATATTGAGCACATGGAAGGAAATCAGCGGCTCACAAAATCTGGACATGGAGCACGGAGACCACCCTGCCTGGGATGCGGTGGCTTCTTGTCTTGTCTAAGCCGATCACAGGACAACGTCATTGCCAATGTGTTTGATCTCCTTTAAGATAGCGAATAATCACGCCTGGTATGCCTACTATTCGATGCCTCGTTTCCTCATGAACGGCTTCGAACTTACATGGGACCTCGGTGTGCGACTTTGCAGAGGATCGACAACACAGTTCAATAATAAAAGCAAAAAAATTCAAATACTACTCTGGGACAACTGCAAATTTGGAACCGAAGTGACAGTGTTATTATCTTACAAAATGCCGACAACACTAGGCAACTTCACTAACATCAATCAGCTCATTTCCCCTTCACTTCCTTGACCCTCCGCTGGTCTGAACTTCAGAACTGATTGTTTCTCAACAGCGCCATGATACGTTCTTCGGGTACTTAGATATCTCACTCCAGCAGCATTCAAATCGTAGACTGGAAGCTTCCATCACCATATCTGCTTATCCAAGCCTTCTATTCACACCCAAACTCGTGCCCACAGCATAGCGGCGACCGAATACCAAGACAGCATCAATAAAATTATGTGAGGGAACCATCCCCTTATAAGGTCCGGGTTAGAAGGAGGGGCCATGGACAACAGCATCTTCATTCAGTATATCCCATGATTCAATCTTTGCTGCGTAGGATGCATGGAGACCGTCGTTGCTTATTAGAAAAGTAGAAGACCCGTCTCTGACGAGACGGGAGCTACGCCTTCCAGAAACAGACATCGTCTGGGGGAGACGAAACTAGTGCCATAGATCCAATATGTGGAAACATGAATAACTTCACGCAAATCAAGCGTGTAGAGAGAGGAAGCTTTCTGAATACTGATTTCTGAAACTTAAACGCTCTAATACTAGGTAGGTATCGCTATATCCATGCACCATGAGAAGCCTGACCACCCATCCCCCTTGAACGCCAGATCCAATGAACACCCTATGACAAACTACTTCTTCGCCCTCCGCTTTCCCTTCTTCTCAGGAACGCTGACGCTCCCTTCCGCAATTTCACCAGCCTCAATCTCGCCCGCCTTCTCCATCTGCTGCAACTTCTCCTGTCCCGATATAAACATGGACAAATCTCGATTCATCTCCTGCAACTCCACCACCTGCTCCTTGTACGACGCCTCGCTCTTCTTCAGCGCCTCGAGCTCGGCTTTGTTGTGCTCCACGCGCTTCATGAGGCCCTGAGTGACTTGTTTCTCCTCCTGCAGGGCTTTACCCATGTTGCGGGCGAGTTCCTGGGCCTTGGTGGCCTTTGCTCGGTCGCGCTCTGCGTCGCGCTCGAGTTGTGGTATGACTTGCGTTTTGAGGCGTGTGAGTTCCGTCTTGAGGGTGGCGTTCTCTTCCAGAGCTGTGGTGGCTTGCGCCGATGCAGACTCGGCTATCGCGGCCGCCTTGGAAGCCTTGTCCGCCACTTTGCTGATCATCTCCTCAAAGTAGACCCGCTGTGATTCAAGCTGACTGGTCAGGAGATGAGTATACTCCAAGCCGATGTTGTCCAGCTTTGCACGAGGGACAGTATCCTCATAGCCACCTTCTGGTCCGTGGTGATGTCCGTTGCTGCCCGGGAGCTCAACGACCTTACCGTCGCCCTTATCACGGATCAAACGATGTACCCACGTATCCCCAGCGTAGTCCCATACATGCTGCGTCTCCAGCTCTAGCGAGAAGCTATGCGCCGTCTCCTTCCAGTGGTCCTTGGCATGGCCGCCCTTATATCGACCGCAGCCGACATTTCCGCAAATAAGGCAGATCCATAGGTCATCGGTGGAATCGCATACGCTGCACAGATTTGATACGGAAGAGCCAAATGGTTGTGTATATGGGTTTGACGGGTCGTATGCGGTTTCGGGATTCGTGTGTCGGCAGACCGGACAACCTGAGCCTTTCCAGTTTTGTAGGCAGGTACAATGAAAGACGTGCTGGCAGGGAATCGTCATTAGGCCTGTTGTATCGTCCATGCGCTCGAGACACACGGGGCAAGTAGGTAGTTCGATGAGATTCGGTGTTGGCGGAGGGAAAGGCCTGAGACTACTCGAGGCGACGACGGAAGAAGACGAAGGCGTGAAGGGATCGTGGTTGAGATCGGGAAACGTTCTGTTTTCTCTAGTCGGTGTCTCAAAGGTGATGGATTTGACGAAGACAACATGGCAAACTTGAGCCTGTAGAAGAGTTAGTCACACGGCCATGTCCGAAATTGCGTTTGACTCCTCACCTCCATGCTGTTGAAGACCTTCCCGTCAAACTCTTTCTGCCACGCCCGCGCCTTCTCGCTGTTTCCAAACTTCAGAAGCACCAAGTATCGATTCATCCTGGCCGTCATGACCATTCGCCAGTGACTGATGTCGTTCCTCCATTTCTCACCGACGTACCCAATGAAGTCGCCCGGGCTGAGGTAACTTGGCACCGCTGGTATGCAAAGTGTCGTGCAGTCTTCTGCTTTGACATCATCACCTTCTGATGGCGGCAGTCCCAAAGCAGGTGTCTCCTCCTCATCGCGGTAGAAGTGTATGACTCCCCAGCCTACTTCCGTACTTCTTGTATCCAGCGGAACGTACTTCGCTTTCGTGGAGATACCGGCGCCGCCGAATGTTGGACCAACGCCCAGGTCTGCGGCAGAGCTCATTGCCTCGGCCGCCATTTGATCTGTATGCTCGTCGCTTTCTGAATCGACGTCGATGCTCTCGATGCTGATTTGACCAAAGCGCCAGTCCTTGACTGCCGTCTCTGGTCGAATCGCTGCCGAAGAAGGCGGGGGTGGGAAGCTCTGCGTACGGGCTCTCCACTGCCTCTCGGTTATCCTCTCGATGTTACTGCCACTGTCTTCCTTGGCTGGAGCTCTTGAAGGTCCGCAGTCGATGAGGTTCGGGCTCGAAGTATGTTCCGGAGCTCTGTGTGTATTTGATCGATAGGTATCGGCGGGGTAAGGTGGTTCGAAGGCTTGTAGTGGTGAAGGCTGTGGTCGAAAACTTGTACTCGGTCTCTTCGAACTTTTCCTGGAATGCGCGGGTAGTTCAGCGAAGATGTTGGCGCCTTTCGGCGGAAGCCACACGTCTTTACGGGGAGCTGCCGCCTGCTCTTTGCCTTTGACGACCTTGGTATCGGCGGGTGCGGGGCTTGGGGTGGAATAAAGCTCGAACTTGAGGTGATAGAAGAAGGTCCGCATAGCACTTCTGAGCCTCGCAGGCTGCCGTGAGACGATGATGGTTGTCTTTGGCGGATGGGAGTGTTTCGGCAACTAATATGGAAGACACCAAACTATGGAGGTAAAAGAAAGTAAGGTTCTAGGTGTTTCCGAAACGTCCATGGGCTGTTCATATCGCGGCGCAACTCGTGGAAGCAGATGGGATAATTGTGTTGTGGGGAAGATTATAGTCATTCAGGTGCGAGGCTCGAGCAGCTGAGCAGCACCCCACAGCCCCACCACTGAGGACCTCGCTCCATCCGGTACGTCACTGATACGCCGCTAATGGGTCAACCTCCCGACAGTGACATGCTCATCACATTGATTCTGTACACTTCAAACCTCAAAATGTCACGATAAAATGGGCAATACAAAATAGTTGAGACTTCAATGAGTCTGATATTGACGCTTTTGTGAGCGCACGGATGCCTAGCTAAGTTTCTAGGAATATGTGAAGATATCATTCAGAATCATTGTCCCGCCATAATCGTAAGCCGTTAACGCCGTCCCACACCCGAACCGACTGTCCCATCAACGAATCCGTCGCTTACTGGCCGCCACGAAGACGGAGGACGAGATGAAGGGTGGATTCCTTCTGGATGTTGTAGTCGCTCAGGGTGCGACCATCTTCCAACTGCTTTCCAGCGAAGATAAGACGCTGCTGGTCGGGAGGGATACCCTCCTTATCCTGAATCTTAGACTTCACGTTGTCAATCGTGTCTGATGACTCGACCTCCAAGGTAATCGTCTTGCCAGTCAACGTCTTCACGAAGATCTGCATACCACCACGCAGACGGAGGACAAGATGCAGGGTAGACTCCTTCTGGATGTTGTAGTCCGACAACGTGCGACCGTCCTCAAGCTGCTTTCCGGCGAAAATCAAGCGCTGCTGGTCGGGGGGGATACCCTCCTTATCTTGGATCTTCGACTTAACGTTGTCAATGGTGTCTGAAGATTCAACCTCGAGCGTGATTGTCTTGCCAGTAAGAGTCTTCACGAAGATCTGCATACCACCGCGAAGACGGAGAACCAAGTGGAGCGTGGACTCCTTCTGAATGTTGTAGTCGGAGAGGGTGCGGCCATCCTCAAGTTGCTTGCCAGCAAAGATCAAACGCTGCTGGTCAGGAGGAATGCCCTCCTTGTCCTGAATCTTGGACTTGACGTTGTCGATGGTATCAGAAGACTCGACCTCAAGGGTGATGGTCTTGCCGGTGAGGGTCTTGACGACTGCGGGGAAGGTTAGCAACTTTATAGTTGATAGGGTGTTCGACGCGAGACGACTTACAGATTTGCATACCACCACGAAGGCGGAGAACCAAGTGAAGGGTAGACTCCTTCTGGATGTTGTAGTCGGAAAGGGTGCGGCCGTCCTCAAGCTGTTTGCCAGCGAAAATGAGACGCTGCTGATCGGGGGGAATGCCCTCCTTGTCTTGAATCTTGGACTTGACGTTGTCGATGGTATCGGATGACTCGACCTCGAGAGTGATGGTCTTGCCGGTAACTGGAAGGGACGGTGTCAGTTGGTGGCGGGGATGATGACTGGGTGCCTAGACTACTTACGGGTCTTGACGAAGATCTGCATGATGGCGACTTCGATAGTTTCTGATGTGTCGTGTTTGTTTTGATATTCCTGAATGGAGTTGCTCGTGATCGAGTAATCGCTGATGAGAGGTTCGCCGAGCGAGAGTGTTGGGTAGTGGATGTGATGGGGGGAAGAGAAAAAGGAGGGGACGAAGAGGTGTAGTGGCTTAAATACCGGAAGGCAACCAAGGTGTCAGAGAGATGCGGCCTGGGCTTGTCTGAAGCCGGGAAGGAAGGACCTGGAGCCAAGTTGGGTGGTGGTGGCAGGTGCATCGGTGACTGACTGACCGCGGAAGGCAAGGAAGGGGAAGGAGGCGCTTGATTGGGGGCGCAGGTGTGCGAGAAAGTGGGGCGGGTTATGCAGTGAGTGGCACTGAGTGCCTTCTTCCTCAGTTCTGACTTCTGAGTGCCTTGTCTGGCAGCGTCTGGGGGAATGGCGAATGATTCATCAGCAACTGCGCAAGTGCCACAAGGCGCTAAAGTACCTAGAGAGGAGCAAGCCGGAACCCTCCAGAACCAAGTGGGGTTTTCTCATGGAGGCCGTACCTCTACCTCCAAACTCACATGAACCTGTGCTTCGAAGAGGTAGAAGAACCTTTCCCTTGCTCCTTATCGCCGACGAATCTGGAAAGGCTGGAACCCAGAGCGCTGTGCCTGATGTCTCAGTTGCGACTTGCACTGGACTGTTGGCCACTCGTCGCCGCCGCTTCTTTGATCAGATGGTCTCGTTCATGCCGCCCCTGCGCAGTGGTCTCAAGGCCAAAACAAACGCACAAAAAAAGAACCAGGTGGGAGATCCAATCTGGCATATCCGTCTCAGTGTCTTCTTCTTCTTCAAGATTTCGAGTTCTATGCCTTTGATGAAGCTACAAGACAATCACTGTTTGAACAGGAAAACACTCCACGGCTTCGATACCGCTAGTCTCCCGGAGAGTATCGAGGATGTCACTGCTGAACTGATGGGTCGCAAGAGGCCCACTAGACCCTTGCACCTACTCCGCCTCTTGCCGGGCGTCCTCACTTCACCTCTGTTTACAGTTCCACGTCCAACACGACCGGGAACAATCGTCACCGCCGACGACAGACATTGGGGCCGAAGAGGTCGCCGAGCGCATCCCCTGGAATGCCCACGATGCTAGCTGCCGATGGACTTGATACTTCCAGATCGAAATCAAGCAGGCTGGCAAGGCTGGCTTCGGTTTGACAAACTTGGCAGGAATTCGTCGTGTCTCACCTGCGCTTGACGGATTCCACGGACGCCAGCCCAAAGTCAAGTCTAAAGAGAAGAGCAAAGAGGGTCAGAAACAAGTCCGACCCGGCCGTGACTGTCACTGACAAACAAGCGCCCCACCCGCCACCCGGATAGGCAGACCGTAGCGGCTAGGAAACAAACCCAACTTGAGTCCTCCTCCACTCACCAATCACGCAGCCACGGCAGCATCTCAGACTCAAGCAGTGGGCAGCGAACATGAGAATCGCCACCTCCAGAGCCTCTTGGTCAATCTTTTCCCCGTCCCAATCGCTCGCTTGCTAATCCCGTCGCCCCCGTACAAAGCTTTTCTCGACCTCATGTCTAATTCCAATTCATTCGACCTAACCGGCCACGATGCCTTCCTTTCGATATGCCCTGCCGGCTGCTGAATGTCGCCGACCATCCTTCCCCCAACATAATACGGTCAAACACTAAAGTGCGGAGAAGGACCGGCGAGACCGGGGTGGCAGGTGAAATGAGCCGACGTCATCCCAAAGGCCACTGCACCCCCAACCTCTCCCGAACCCTGATTTTACGAACCACCGCCCGAACCTGACAGACAAACAAGCAGACAGGCCTCCAGATACCAATACTTCAGCCAAAGACGAGAAATTTCCTACGCATCCCAGTTCGGCGTCTCCAGCCCAACAACGAATTCACCAAAGTCGCAAGCAAAAAGAATGCGAACCTCCGCATCCTCCTTCGAAGCGACGCTTTCGTCAGCCGAGGAATGAAGCGATGGCGACATCGGTCTTTGCTCGCTCGTCGCTCGGGCCTTATCGCGACATCCGTTCACGCGCTCTCTTCCCAGGGGGGGGGCCAAAAGGCGACGTTTCGCCCACACGAGCGAGACACTCACACACACTCTCGCGCGGCATCGCCTCCTCCTCCATACTAGGTACACAGTAGACAATGGTACAACTCGGCCACGTTGGCTGCACTGTTTCTCTGCAGCAACACACAAACACCACCACCACCACCACCACCACCACCATATGCATCCTTGCCCCTCCAGCCACTCTTCTCATTGGTTTGGCCTCAAATCGTACCAAAAGCACAAGGGCGCCCTCTATCCCCATTTGCTGCGATAAGGCCCCTTCTTCCCCTCATTGACCCTGCTTTAGCCCATCCCGCAGAGGTTCGTCCCCCAAACTACCTCAGATCACGCTGCTCTAGTCTGTCGAAGGTGGCACCTAGGTGGTCCACCACGTTGTGGGCTGCACGCCGCGGCTTGCATGCTGTCTCATCTGACCCTCATGTCTGTTTCCCTACCTTATCTAAAGGATGCCTTGAAGATACCCGTACATACGTCTCATTTGGGACGAAAGGGTACACAATCAATGTAGTCACGGTTTGAAAGGTGCATCTGAACTGATTGTAAAGGGCGCGAAACAAACAATCTCGATGTATCGATTTTGACCCAAGTTAACTACAACAGTGTAAATGCCGATATCGGCCAATTGTGCCTCTCCATTTCTCTGCGTGAAGGTTTTTTGCAAATGGGCCCTTCCAACGCCCAAAAATTCCAATGCATATCATAATCGTCTATGCTTGCTATGCTCTGTCATTTGCCTGTCGTGCCGGCGTGATCGTCTCCATGAACGTCCCTGGCGCATGTCGCGTCTCTCTTTGCCGCAGCGCAGCCCTTCTCGCCTGCGCTCGACTCCAGACCACCAACCCCGTTAAGCTTCGAGTCATACATTCGTAATTTGAATCATGATAAAAGGTCGTAACACATCGCGATGAATCGTCGTGGTGGGGAGGTGACCAGCCAAAAAGAAGTGAAGTGAAGAGGTGGGGGTAGAGATCTTGTGTGTGTGTGTGGTGTCTCGTTCAACGCCGTCGCTGTGACTCGAAATAACAAAAGAGATGCAACCAAATTGCCCACCCAGGGGCTTTTCAAAAATCATAATCTCAAGAAGGAAAATAATTGGCAGCAATAATAATGGCACAGTAGAGGACAATCAGTTGGCGCGGATCACGAGCTTTGACAAGAACTTGTTCGACAAGCAATCAAAGTCGTTGCGGTCAAAGCTAGCGTCGGGGCGAGTACGCAGGTATGCCTCTGTTGTAGACTATTAGTGCTCTGCAGACATGACGGGCGGAACCATTGATAACTTACCGTGCTTGATGACATGCTGACGGACCTCGGTCATGGCCTCGCAGACAGCAACGTTGTTGTTCAGGAGGTGGCCGTGCTTGGCGGTGTCCCAGTCCATGAAGGCAGGAAGCTTCTGGGAGATGGCGTGGAAGAGGCCGACAATGACACCAACGGGAGTAGTCTCCATGTCGTTGCAGAACTTGTTGACGGCGGCCGGATCGGGGACACGGTAGTGGCAGTCAAACTGCATCTCTTCCCAGACGGCGAGGAGAATGGAAGCTAGCATGAAGATGGTGGGCCAGTTCTTGAGACGCTCACCGCTGTAAACGCTGGAGTACAGAGAAGACAGCTCCTCGAGAATCTCCTTCTGGAGCTCGCGCCACATGTCGGCCATGGCACACTTGATCTGGAAGTTGATCATGACAGGGGCAACGGTCTTGCCATAGTACTTGGAGTCCTCATCGTCGATCTGGCCATCGAGCTGAACATCCTCGCCTTGGCTCTCAACCATGGTGATGTGCAGGGTGAGGTTGTAGGCAAGAACGAGCTTCAGAGCCTTGCGGATGACGGGCATACGCTCCTTGACGTAGTAGCGGTGAGCAGTCTTGAGGATCTCGGTGATGAAGGGAGTGCCCTCAAAGTGGTCCTCAATGAAGTCCTCGAAGCCTCCATCAATGTGCTTGTCAAGGTAGTCAGACAGAGCCTCAACAGAAACGCCCTTGGCACCAACATCGAGTCTCTCGGTGCGAATGTCAAAGTCAATGGGCTCCTGGTCGGTCAAGCAGGACTCAACCCAGTCAACCTGGAAGCAGCTCTCATCAGCCACGTAGACCTCGCGGACGTAGACGGGGAGGGCAAAGCCATAGCCGTGAGTGATCCACATGACAGTCTCGTTTTGAGCAAAGCCCTTGACGTTGTAGACAGAAACACCGCGGCCAAGATGACGCTCATAGTCGGCCTTCCAGTCCTTCATGAAGTAGCCGATATCCTTGATATCAATACGAGTGCAAGGAACCTGCCACAAACGAGCGTGAGACGGCTGGCAACCAGCACAAGGCTCGCCCTTGTCACAGGTCTTCTTCAAGAACTTGCAACGCAGGCAGGCACGAAGCTTTCTAATCTCACTAGCCTGCTTACGCTGCTCAGGCAGGAGAGGACCCTTTCTGCGGCCAACCTTCTTGACCTCTGTGCCATCCTTCTTGCCGGTTGAAGTGCGGCGAATGACGGCCTTGGTGGCCTTGCCGGTGACCGGGCTGCGTCTCTGGCCCGAGTTTCTCCGGGCGGTAGTGAGGATGGGAGGAGACGTGGCGCCGGAGCCGCTGGCGGGAGTTGGCCGGGTCGGTGTGGTCGTCTTGATAGGCATGGGAGCAACGGCAGCTGCAGGGCTGACTGTGTCGTGGTTGTGAACGTGGGCATGAGCGTGTGCGTGAGCGTGGCTGTGGGCATGGGCATGGTTGTGGTTGTGGCTGTCTCCGAAGCAATTGCGGTGAGATCCGGCATCGACATATCCGTCAGACTCGGGGGAGAAGGGAGAGATGGGGAAAGGAGCAATCTCCTCATAACTGCCGAGTTCGAATGAATTGGCGCCGTCCGACGAATCCGAATTGGTTCTCAAGTGAAGCGTCTGGCTGGGGTTGAAGATTGCCGCATTGGGCTGTGCCTGTTGAAAGTGGTCGAATCCTGCTCCAGAGCCCTGCTCAACGACCATTGACCACCCCTCTCCATTGCCAGTGCTCGGCAGGGACAGGACCTCGAGGAAGGTACCCGTCGGCGAATTGCTGCCAATGCTATGTGACAGGCCGTCAATTTGCAACGCTGAGGCAGCGGCTTGGATGTCGTGCCAGCTCTCCATTCCCAAGCTCCAGTTCATAGCCGGAACAGTGTCGTCCATGGGCGGCATGGTGTTGAAGGCGGATGCGAGTTGAAAGTTTGCGGCCTGCAGGGCCTGGGTCGTGGCGGGGAGGAAGTCGATGGGATTTGTCTGGAAGCCCGGGGCATATGGGTTGTATGTTACGGGCATGTATGCGTCGGAGACATATTGGGAGTAATCGGGCAATCCATGAGGGGTCTGCTGTTGCTGATGCTGATGTTGTTGCAAGGCCCAGTCGGTCAATGAGTTGACGGGTTGTTGATATGGTGAATGATGCGAGTGCTGGCTCAGAGGTGAGGAGCTGTGTGAGGGCGAGTGGGCTTGCTGGTCCTCGGGAGGACTCGAGGCTGCGACATTCGAGGTCATATCCAAGGGAATGGGCCAGATCCTCTGAGCGGGCATGTTGGTGACGCTCTGGGGGCTGTTCTGGGATGAGGGGATTTGCGAGGCATAGGAAAACCGGTCCCGCTGGTCGAAGGAGGAGAGGTCCAAGAGGGCGTCGCCTCCACTCGTATCGAAATTGACGTTCATGTTGGGTAAGATCAGTCGTGGAAAAAGGACCAACAACGGATAGGTGTAAGTCGAGAAACGGGAGTTGGGGCAGAGATATGGCCTTTTTCCCCAGGACACCGCTCTTTCGTCGGGGTGAGGGTGAGGTGGATAAGGGGAGCAAAAGACCTTCTTCGCTGCGGCGACAAAGGTTTTGGGGGGAGGATGAGGTGGGTAGGAAGAGATTCGGGTGGTGAGAAGGGCGAGAGACTTGGTCGGGGGCCCCAAAAGCGGGCATGCGTGGGTGAAGAGGAACGACGACGAGCCCGCGAAAGAAGCGGTGAGAGATGCAGTTGAACCTCCAGCCCCGGCCGGGAGCAAGAGCCAATGAACGGGGCGGCTGCTCCTTCTGCAGCTGCACGAGTGTGGAGCGGAGACGACCGGGGGGTGTCGCTCCAAAGTTGCGCCAGTGGGAAGGAGGGTTGGTGGTGGGTGGATTGCACTTGCACTTGCACTTGCACTTGCACTGGGGCAGCTACAGGTAGGTAGGTAGGTAGGTACTCCGTACCTTAGGACTGGCAAGAACTGGCAAGAAGATATGGGGACAGAGTACTTGGGCGACTGGATGGAAGGTGGGAAGCTGATACTTTCTGGATGGGAAAGAACTGGACCGCTGGACCATTGGACCCATCATCCATGAAAGTGGGGTGGGCGGCTGCTCACGAGGACCACTTTGTAACTTGACTCCATCCAATCACCCCAGCCGCCTCCGTGTGGGTGAGACTGTACATCATCCTCCTCGACACTGTATTTTTGCAGGCTGGGCCAAAGTGTTGGCGGGTACGGATAGTAAGAAACAGTGGGATGGGCGAGGATGAACGGGTTGTAAAACATGTCGCTAAACACCTTTTTTCCCTGGTTGGCCTGGCTGGAGCCTCCCCAGCTGTCTACGGATACCTGTGTCTGCGGCCTGCCCCCATCATCTAAGTACTGCAAACCCTGACCATGGGCGAATGGCTGGAAATCGATATTGGACGGCGTAGAAAGCGAGACGTGGTTGTAGCTCTGGCCAGGTACGTACCCTAAAGGTCGAGTGTCTTTTTTGGACGGGACGGGACTTGGAGGCTTGGAGCTGCCATCCACGCACTGCACCGGCGCACCCATTATTACCCACGCCATCTGCCATCCGCCATCCGCAGCCACCATCCGCAAAAGGTACGTACTTGTACCCACCCTGGGAGCGTTAATGGAAACGTTCTTTTCCGCCTTTGGCGAGGTCTCTGAACCCACCACCCTCCGCCTCACCTCACCTGTCCTCACGGCCCTCACCTCACAGGCTCACCTCGCTCCAGTTTGCCATGAAGTGACCTCCACCTTCACGATGTCCCGCCTGCGCCTGCCACCACGTAACGTACCAGCGTACACAGGTACCAATGTCACTTTCCCTCTCTCAACGCCCAATCGTGCCACCCATCTTCTCTCTCTTTTTACACTACTGTGTACAGACAGAGTCTTACGAATCATGAGGCCCGCGACGGATTCATTCACTCCCGTCACTCATTGTGGCTTCGTGGCTCTCTCTCTCTCTCTCTCTCTCTCTCTCTCTCTCTCTCTCTCTCTCTCTCTCTCCCCCCGCGGCACAGTCACACACACACACACCCACCATCTTTTCTGTCGTCTCTGGCGCTACGGATATCATGGTCATACCTGACCGAGAGCCCACATTCCAGGGCTCTTCTCGTGCCTGCAGCAAACAGGCCGACGAGGCCATAGTTTAAAACACCAGGTTCCGGATGATGACTTAGTGTCGCCCCAGGGTCATCTCTCTCTTCGGATGATTCCTCAACAGCGTCAAACGCGACTGACCCCAAGATTGCCTCAAGCCTCGAACCCTGAGGAACTGGTACCAGGGCAGAGCTTGGGCTCAAGGCTCGACCAAGAACTAGAGCTGGCTGGCCATCGGCACTTGCAGGACCCAAGCCAAGCAAGCCACGCCAGGCAGGCTGGCAAGCAGGCTCGCCTGCCTGCAAGTTGCAACTCGCAGTGCTCCCACAGACCTTGAGCTGCCAGAGACGACCTGGACGCATCTCGCCTCTCGCTTGACGCTGCTGCAGCCGCCACCACCGGCCGCCTCTAGCGTCTATCATCAAGCACATCCGGCATCAGCTATCGATGCCTCCTCTGAGAAAAAAAAAGAAGAAAAAAAAACATAGGATGAGCCTGGACGGCAACTTTGACGGGGTCATCCCAATCAGTCATCAACCGTGCAAACTTACACTTAGACATTGCGGGCTGCCCCGAGGCATTCGTCCGTTCCTCGCGACACCACGAGCTACGGAGGCCACGGACGTTGACCGGCTGCTGGCCAAGGCCCCATTGATCAGCATTCGACTGTGCTTCCCGTCCTCCCACAATCACAGTGGCATCACCTCACCTGTGACCTGTGTGGCTTGTACGGAAAGAGTCAATGGCTGATGCGTCTGCGGTGCAACAGTCACGACGTGGTCGTGGTGGTCCAGGCAGTAGAGGAAGCACCAAAAAAGACAGCGCACCCTGCACAGTGCAATAAGACTCGACAAAGGACGACGCCCACGGCTCTCTAACACTCTGGGAAACGATCAGCTCACGGCATTGGATCGGCTGCTGTCAACGGGCAACTCTATCTGCACCTCGCGTCAACGGCACGTTGGCCCTCAATTCGGCCCTCCAATGCGTCTTGTCATCTTCCGCCAGGGTCCTGTGCGCTTTATCGCCCTTCACCCATGAGTGGGATGATCCTCCACCTGGCCAACCGACGATATCATGGAAATGCCATTGTTGCCGCCTTGTTTCTACAAACGGCAACGCCGAACAAACAATTCCAAGGTGGAAGTCGCCCGCTCGTAGCCTCGGTCGATAAAACTTAATAAGCCCTTGGCCGCGATGAAAACCTGGCTTTCTCGACCTTGCCATGATGCCAAGTCCACAATGGGCTGGGGTAGAGTCAGGGCCATCACTCTCACCAGTGACCAGACCCTTCGGAGTTTTCAAGCCGCCCCCTACCACCGCAGTCAGAGCCCCACGAGCCAGGGCCAGAGCAGCCATTGATAAGTCGCCTGTTGCGCAAGGTTTCGATCGCAAGTTGCCGCAGATCTGCCATGGTACATTAGCAAACGCAAGGATGAAAATCTTCTCGTACGGGCTCCAGTCGATAACGGATCCAGTGCCCAGACGCCTGCAGCTAGCGTGGTACTATATGTGAGTTGCTTGACGGCGAGAACAGACTATTCGTAGCTGCGACGTCGCCTTCACGCCTGGACAGGCACTGAGATGCTGCTAACATCAATCGGCTCAACAAAACCAAACGAGCTATCGCAGATTCGCACACCAGACGAGGGCCCTCGTCCGATGGATTGCATCTTCGCTACAGACCCCGCTACGAACTGGAGATAGACAAAGCCACCATTGGCAATGGCCGGTTTTGCCTGGCCCTGTCGTGCCTAGGGCCCTGGGCTTCTGGCGCAGAACGACCTGATGTTCCCGATGCTCCTCTCTCCCCACAAGCGTGGAGACTACCTGCGTCCGGATTGTCTTCTTGCAGACCCCGCCACTGCTGGGCCCTGAGCCTCGAGGGGCTCTTCTGCATTGTTGTTGGCTTTGTCGGCATTCCGAGGCTCCAAGGTGCCCTGAGCTATTCGTATCTCGGATGGATGTCGTCGATGCCGATGGCGTGGGCAAGGCCGGACTACGGTGCGCGATACTGTTATGGTCACGGTGGACGGGTCTTCCGGCACAGTGGAGAATATCTCGCGGGAATAGTCCCTTCCTGGCGGATCGCTGAATCGTGTGCCAATGGTCCGACGGCCTGCTGTCACGGTTGTTACCCTCCCGGTGGTTGGTTGAATGTCCAACCACAGCACAAGGTGGATTGCGGAGTGCCGGTGCAAAGACCATTGCGAGGCTTCAGCAGATCTTCCTCCTCTAGCTCGAACAATGAGGAGGGGCAATAGGTGCACAGCCCTCAATCTGTCAAACGAACCACTTGCAGATGACGAAACAAGTCGCAGTACAGGGTCCAGGCATGTTCATCGAGGAGCCGAGCTTGACGCGGTACGGCCAGCGGCCAGCGGCGACTTAACACGACGAGTTATTCCCCACCCGTATCACGGATAATGTCTGGAGGTGCGTCGCGATATTGAGAGGTTGCTGCGAACCAAGGTATATCCCGACTCCGAAAGGCAGCCTATTATCTCCTGCTTCGACCGACTGATCAATGTTGCAGGCGGGAGTCTCTGTTAGCCCTTCGTTGCCGCGAACGCACGTCTCTCCAATTGGCTTTGCCTGCAAATAAGGCACATCAGATCTGCGTCAGTTCCCCGATCGATGTCGCTTGTTCCCAGCTCACCCGTTCACGGCCATGGCCAGACCCTGCACACGCCAATTTCCTCTATCAAAAGACGCCAGACGCCAGACTCCAGACATCTCAGTCCGTAGTTGGTCAAATATTTCCACTCCGAAAGGCACCGTCTCTGATGGCGAGTTATGCCACTTGCCTCTTCTCGGATACCTGCATTCATGGCATAACGTATTGCACATCATCTTGCATACTATACTTCTGACCTTCCATGTTTCTCCAATTATGAGCCTCGTCAACGGAATGCCGCAATCCATGACGCCGCCGGACCCCACACGGACCGGACTTTTGATAGATTTCTAGAGAATCTCGGTGATAAGTGGCATGAAGCATATATCCGCCGGAACCGACGTTGTACGAAGCTTTGAGTTCGATACTACGAAGCCGTTTGTCTCGTTTGAGATGCGAACCTCGTGCCAGAGTGAATCAGTTCCATACCAATACCGTAGAAACTCGAGCAACTCGAACTTGCGCTAGCCCGTGCCAGCCCTGCTAGCGGCCCACACTAAGCCCTTTCGAGGGATCAGTTTTATCCGATTATATAATCGACTAAACCGTATACGGAAGGCGGTAAGTGATTATTTTCCATTTTTTACTCCTACCCAACTGCCCACTTCCACCGATTACATCACCGATTTGACCACCAATTATACTGTCAATTATACCTCCAATTACACCTCCACCACGGGCCTCGTCGACGTGCCCACGATGCCCTCACGACGGGCCCTTGCCGAGAAGGATTCGAATACGGCAAAAGTGCCAATTACACCTCCAGCAGCTAAGCGCCGCGGGCCTGCTCCTACCCCCATCAAAGACCGGAAATATACACCGCGAAGTGGCCCAATCAAGCGCCGCCAGCACCACTATACCCACGATACCAAAGTCAACGTCCTGATGTTTTTAGAGCATCACCGCGTGAGGAAGCTCGACGAAGAGTCGATTTGCCCCCCGAGGCTGCGCCAGGGCGAGACCGAGCTCCCAGGGATATACAGACGTCCCACATACCAGGAAGCCGCAGATTGGTTCAAAGTCCCTCGAAGCACGGTTATCTCCTGGTATCAGAACCGCGAGTCAATCGTCAATCGGTCCTCCAACTACGCCTACCACCCTCAGTGGCCAGAGCTCGAGACAGCGCTATACGGCGCCTTCCGCCAGCGACGAAGTGAGGGAAAGCTCGTTAGTACCAGTTGGTTCAAAAGGACCGCTAAGCGGATTTTCGCCCAGCAGAACCCGAACAGCAAACATCTTTTTATTTTTTCCCCCGGTTGGTTTCGTGGCTTCCAGAATCGTATGAGAATTACCCGACGTCGACTTACCAAACAGGCAACGAAGTTACCCACTGAGTACTTCAAAGTTGTCAACAGCTTTCTTTCCTTTATCCGACGAGTTAATCAAATGGCCCTGGCTAAGGTGAAGCGGTCTAACGTCGGAGATTTACTCGGAAGTCCAGCCCGTCGATTTCCTAACTCGCGAATTCTCAACCTCGACGAGACCCCAGTTCCTTTCGAATACCTAGACGGTTACACATACGACGACGTCGGGGCCAAAACCGTGGCTGGCAAGAGCGACCGCAGCGGTTGGGGCAAGCGGCAGGCCACATTAATACTCTACATCTTCGCCGACGGCATACAACGAATTAAACCGAAAATAATATTCCACGGCAAGCCCGCAGAGGAAGGGGGTCAATTATGGAAAAAAGAGGGCCTATTATACGCAGAAGGAGTGACAGTTGAGTTCAACAAGACTGCCTACAACAATGAGTACTTGTTCAAAAGATGGATTGAAGAGGAATTGGTAGCGCTGACTAAGGGAGACGAGTACCTATTGGTAATGGATGTCGCTTCCTTCCATAAGACAGATTCCATCCTTGCGCTATTACGTCAGCACCACATCACACCCTGCCTCATACCGCCAGGGACCACTTCCCTCCTCCAACCTCTCGATACCGCAGTCAATAAGCCCTTCAAGCAGTGGCTTTCAGAAGCAACCGACGCTTACGTACTCGACGAGGAAGAAAAAGCGCTGAATAAGCAGGAGGAGCTCAAGTGGGAGACGGGTATGAAGAGAATAATGGTCACCAAAACAGTCGAGACGGCAGCCGCTAAATTGGCCCACGAGAAGGGCTCAATGGTCAGCCAGGCCTTCCTGCAGTGCGGAATATCTATTCGGCCCGATGGCAGCCAGGTCGACGAGATCCGGATCAAAGACGTGCCCGCCGAGGCCATCGATTACACTGGGTGGGAGCTCTTCGACGTAGAAGCCCACATTGAGCAGGAGACGCTGCAAGAGGAGATTCCAGACTTCGCTGTTCTGAACGACGGGTTAGAGTACATTTTCACAGCAGAGGAAGTCCGTGATGGCATCAATGGGCAGTTCGTCGACCCGACAGTCCAACCGCCGTATGAATAGGGGCCCGTTGGAGGCAGTGGGCCAGGGGACAGTCAGGGGCTCGGTTGCTTACGTACGACTGCTTCCAATTGACACTTTTGCCCTTTTTGCCAATTCGACGAGAAAAGCTCAAAACCGACGAGAAAGCCAAAATAATTATTGAATTATATCAATTGTGGGTCCGGCCTCGACGGCGAGCTCTCATTGGTCAGATCGATCGAAATGTTAACCTACGCCAAAAATAGGTGGCGGCCGCATTTAACCACTTTAGGCAGTATTACGATTCTGCCATAGCGCTAGCAGGGCTGGCACGGGCTAGCGCAAGTTCGAGTTGCTCGAGTTTCTACGGTATGCCAGCCAAATTCGACCGACGCCGAGCGGAGCAGCAGAAGGCCAACGAATTGTCCGGCAGCAATGCGGGCGAGGGTCATTTTCCCCACGATCATTGGTGTAGCTCAAGGGGAACCGGCAAGGGGCTGCTCAGGCACAGTCGTGTCTGCCCACCGTCCCCCATGCCCATTGTACGGCAAAAGAAACCTGCTGCAAGCCATCCCCTGGATTTCGAATGTGCGGTGTGAGATTCTCGTCTGAAAGAAAACGCCTTGGTAGGCCCGTCAACCAATCATGCCGCATCTTTTGTTGGCCGTTGGCGGGATTCGCCCGAGGACTCATGCCCACCGTCTTCTTTGCATTACGTGATGCAAGTAATGCTTCTGGGCCGTTGAGAGAGTGGGAGAGGTCCAATTTAAACTTGACCGACTCAACTCGAGTCTGGAAGTATGGAATACGCGCCATGATTGAGATGACTTGGGAGAGAACTAGATGTTTCGTAGCTTTCTGGAAAACGATGATGGTCAAAAGTTGACTCGGGTCCAGTGATTTGAGTGCTGGAAATATCACCGACAAGCGTAGCAAGCTCTAACTTCCATACCCATCCATCTTCAATGACATCAGGAACCGAGATCAAGACAGCCGTAAGACCTGCAGATAGAAAACTGAATGAATGGGCTCCTCAAGAGGCGTCCAAGGAACTTGGTTATGAGTTATATTATCAAATTCACCGAGCTGAATTAATGTTGATGCTCATCATGACAAAGCGACAGCTATGTCTACGAGTTATGATGACTCGACTTAATAGGCGTTCAGCTATGAGCAAGACGCCCACAGCTCAAGTCATCCCGGGCCACCATGTCGGACATCTGCCTCAAGAGCTATCCAGGTCCGCAGAGGCAATCAGTCACTCATAAAGTTGACTCATCCAAGCCGAGCCCAACCAACATTTCTCAGACACCTAGATCACCGGGCCTCGGGCATATTTCCTCTTGGAATGTATTGGAAACGTACAGAGCCATATGAGAATGACGCAACATCCATTTCTTTCAGTTTCATGACAACACACAAGTGTGGACAAAATCTCAAGTCAATTGCAATTAGCACCGAGTAGACAAATAATAGCTTACCCTTTGATGGTGCGACTAGTTACAGCCTGCCCACTCACACTACCTGCGGCATACAAGTTTTTCCGCATAGTGTACAGTGGAAGAGAGAGAGCGGTCAATGGCCGCCTAGGATTACCATTGGAGCCAACGCAGCGCTGTGCGTCCCTGCATGACCAAGGAAGCAGACATACAGACGTTCATGTGTCAAAAATCCTGGAGGATAATGTAAGGTATGCAAATTATCTTCAGCAGCATTCCAGCTGCGCGGAGAAATAGTCCTTGCAAAATGCCTTCAAGAAGAACTCCACTACGCTGGGTATTTTGGTCCGTTTCTGAATGGAACGGGGTGGCATTCCTGAATCCCTTTGAGGTGGTTGCGCAGCTTGGACCACACACCACTTGAGGGGCTTAACAAGCGGTCAAGATCTCGAGAGATCCGAGCACCCTCACTAGAGGCGGATGGCGCCGCGATAGCTTTGAGGTCATCTAGTGATCAGAACTCGGGCTAGGTTCGGCTAAGAACGTTGGATGCCTGGCATCGGTATCGACATCTCTTGCGCCAAGTCAAGTTGCTGTGAAAACTAACGGCATCGTCAATCCATCAATTTGGTTGTCAGAGAGATGAATAGCAATCGTAAGTTGGGCAGGGCTTGGGAGTATGTTCCGTGCCCCGCGTCCCACGGAGGAGGGGTCGAGGAGGGGTTAGCGACCCTCAATTGGCCCCATCTTCATTCAATTGATGGTTGCCATCTTGCATTTGGCCTTGCTATGTAACAAGTTGAGTCCCGACCAAGTCAATCAAGCAAGACTGTTCACTCGGATTAGCCAGTTGTTATCGAGTACCAAACCAACTCTTTTCGAGCCAACGCTTCGCAGTGACAACCACGAGTCTCGACTAGTCTCCCGTCAGATTCCAGCCGTCCAGGCTCTATACATCCAAAGAACATGTAGTGCATGGAATCACTTTGCGAGAATTACTTCATCAAATAATTTCTCAGGCGCGACTAGTGGATGAAACCGCT